CTAGGGTATTCTGTAAAGATAAAGGATCACTCATGACATTCTTTTCCATTTGCTTGCTTGTAAGAATTGCTATACCGTCCATAAAATAGAAAATTTTCATTTTAGATGGAGTCATGTTACTCTCAACCTACTACCCGCAGTATGAAAATAAGTATTTGAAAATATCACAGAGTCAAGCTGTGAACGCAAGGAACACTCCCTTAAAGGTGTCAAGAGTAATTACAACCAATGTCAGGAAATGGTCACCTTCACATGGTTGGTATGTTAAAAATATTTGATGGAACAGAGGATATCACAATTAGTAATCATAATACTGAAATGAGTCTAGAGAAAGCAAAAAAATTTCCAAGACTCCTATTGATGCTAGATGTGAGGAAATCAGTTTATTTGACCTCAAAAGAAAACGTCAGTTTTCTTTTTTTTCCTCTTGTATCTTTATCTGTGATGTCTTCTTCAAACTACGGTTACACTATCCACCCTGCAAAACAAACAAACAAACAAAAATCCCAAAGCACAACATTCCACATACCTCTCTCTTTTAGGAGAAGTCGATCTAAAGAATCCTTCAGTACAGAAGATCTCATTGTACAGATATTGTTGAAGTACTCCAGCACTGGGTATGGGATAGCAGTACTAGAGATGCGATTCCGGTGCAAGAATCTCAGTATCATCGAAGCATGAAGACCAAGACGCTCTTTTGATTCGGAAAATATGTCAATGAAACCTAGAAACAGACCATATTTCCATCTTTGTTCCAACATCGGACAGAATCTTGAACAAACATTTTTCCTCGCTATATTTTTTCTCACTACATCTTACTACTTAGGTAAATTCTTGTTAAGTATGAGAGCCTATACTGGAGCCTACACTCCAGATGAAGCAGCTCAACTTTATCACATTTAGAGCAGGATCATGAGAGGTGCAAGAAATCAGATGTTACCAGTCACCTGAAATGTCTGACAGGGTTCAAATTAATCACTAAAAATCTTAACTCTGATGTTTATTTTGCTGTTTCAAAAGCCCCAAACTCTTATGTTTTATATTTTAATATCCAGATGAAATAGACACTGCTTGGTCAAAGAGATGAGGTACTTACATCATTAAGCTTGGCATTTGGCATTTTGGATTATTCCCAAAGAGGTACCTAAGTTTGCCACTGACTAATAAAAACTTTAGCTACTTAACAGTAGGACTCTGAAGCACAGTGAAACCAGATGTGTAGAGTGCCCCGTGTATTCTTTCCTCTAACTTTTCTTTTAGCCAGTTCTAAAACTTCTTATCCTCCCTGGCAAATCCATCTTAGCCACTTATCCTTAAATGCTTAGGAGGAATGCCAATAACAAATACTTAACCCAAGGACTAAAATTCCAGAAACCTGAAGTTTTATTTAGAAGTTCTGTGCCATAAACTGTGAAGATAAGAAGTTATATGCTATAAACTGTGAAATATATTTTAGAGGGTTTCAAAAAACTAAACAATGATATATTAAATGCACAGCTCGTCATCCGAAACACTCTGTGGAGGACATTTCCAGTTATTATGTATAGGATTGCTACTGTATTAGTTAAGTCAGTTACCAAATTTTGCAAGAAGCTCCCCATTCACAGAGAGAGGGGAAAAAAAAAAGGTTATTTATGAAAGCAAGTCAGCTGGCTTGTAACTATGGGAAATACTTGCAGACACTCTACTTGTCTGACACGAGGGAAGTGAGAATAACTCGGACTAGTGTTGTGAGACTAGAGAAAACACAAGTTTTGCTTTGCTTTGTCACTCTCTTCTCATACCTGGAACTAGGGAACAAGCCTGCAGCTGCCTGATTACATGACTAAGCTCCCCTTGAAGATTTGCTCCACTGGAATTCTTGAGAGCCTCCAGCATATTCTCCACATCCACAGTGCCATCTCCTTCAGCATCAAATTGTGCAAAAGCCTAAAGAGGAATAAAGAGTAATTAAAGTTACTTTAGATAAAACTGAACAGTAAGCACTGCAAGCTTCTTAAAGCTTTACTCAAAAGAATCGATTTTCTGCAGTATTGAATTTGTGGCAACCAGAAGCATAACCTGGTTGAAAATGTGCAGTTCTCAGCAAGTTTTATGGCACTTGCACTGCCCTCCTAGAAAAGTCAACTGTAGTTATGCTTAAATGGAGACAGCACATCATCTACACCAGTGAATCAGCAGTAACCACCCAACATCTGTGACTACCAAGAAAGTGCTCACAAAAGAAGGTATAAAAATCTATTCCATTACAGGGTGAGTTACTTCAAAAAGATATTTAATTCATCACTCGTTGTTATAACCACCTCATACTGCAAGCATCCAAATTCTCAGGCTTTTAACAAATACATAATCAAGCAAATTTGGCTTCTGAAGAGCGATCACCTCCCAAGTGTGTGACAGAGTCAAGAAACTGCAGCTATTTGGAAGGATGCTTACGTTTGAATCTCTTATTTTACTATTTGAGTATGAAACCTGATGTACCGTTAAGAGTACTATCCTAGAGAGAAATAATCTGAAATGATTAGGTCAAAATAATCTGCCAATTAACCATGATATAATTTCACTACCTAAATGAGAGCAAAGTCCTCAGAAGATAAGAGCTTAAGCACCATATTTTACAGCTTACTAAAGCTCCAAGGGCAATTCTGCAAAACAGAGCTGAATGTCAGCTTGGCAGTTTCATAAACTCTTGTTAAACATATGGCTGAGCCTATGCTAAAAATCATTTCCTTTAAAAAGTATATTATGATGCATAGAGATGACTGGGGCTGGGCATCCCATGGATACCAAAGCACAAACTAAGAGCTTTGTTTGCATAAAACAATATAAAGGGAATTAATTGTAACAAAGATAGCTCAGGCTGCTGAAAAAGTTCAAAGTACAGCTTGGTATCAACCCACTGTTGCTTTTATAGGTCTTTTCCTCATCCTTGAAGTCCAGCTGAAAGCTTACTAAAATAAGGAATGAAAAAGGGAACAAGCTCTGAGATTTTAGCAGCGAAAACAAATTGCATATAGGAATACTTCTTGACTGTGAAGAATTTCTTTGCTGTGAGGGTGCCAGAGCCCTGGCACAGGCTGCCCAGGGAGGCTGTGGAGTCTCCTCTGGAGGTCTCCAAACCCACCTGGATGCCGCCTTGTGCCCTCTGGGTGTCCCTGCTGGAGCAGGCGGTTGGACTAGATCATCTCTAGAGGTCCCTTCCAACCTCAACCATTCTGTGATCCTGTGATCTGTGATCCTGTGATTACAGGCAAAAGTTGGATCTGCCAACAGCTGTTCTAAGTTAGTTTTTTGTGTAAGAAGAGATTAGCAGACATATATATCTTTTATATATAATATATATTTTTATATATATATATATATGCATCTTAGTGCAGTAGTTATATTTTAAAAAACATTTCCTATGATCTCAGTACTAGGTCGACTTTCACCTACCCCAGAACTGCAGTAAGGTTTTTTATGGTGTAGCACAATTTAAACTATATCCATGTGACACAGAAGTTGCACAACTTCCATGGGCTCCCCTGTACAACAGCGGTACAAACAAATAAAAACACTTAGTAAATAAACCAGGACTGAGCTGTGCTCATGTTTGGGACAGGGAGCAAATGCAAGGGCAGCTTTAAACCATCCAGCTGCATCCTGCTCCTTAATAAAAGGACTAAGGCCAGATAATTCCTACCAAGCTCAGCACTGAGCATGAAGAAATCTTAGAGAAACATCTTTTCTGGGAAATGCTGGCTAAGTTTATCCGTCCAGGAAATACAGCAAATGGAAAAATCACCACCTCATCCCACAGACAGCTTGGGACTGGGCGGCATGAGAATATACTTAAAATATTATTTATGATATTCTATATTCCACTCTTCGCTCTCAGTAGGGCTAAAAAGTGTTCATGTTTGAAGTGAAAGCCGAGTATGCTACAGGCTGGCTGCTGAAGCACTAATGGATAAAAAACGACTCAGAGTTTCGCTAGCAAAGGGATACTGTAGTTAAAATAGAGATTCTTCTGCACATTAGGCATTCGATGTATTCACTCACAGGGCACAGAGTAGAAGAACTTAATAGGCCGAGTAAATTAAATTTAGTCTCTGCCAGGTGGGATTCTGTCAACGTCAAAAGTGAAACCTACCGAGCTGCCACCAACAAACTGACTTCTCATCAGTGCAAAATACACCCTGGAAATGTAAAGTACTCCCCCTCACCTGCCCAGCGAGAAACATGATGACACCAAGGGTCTCCCACAACTCCAACATCCCCACTTTGCAGGAGAGGTGACCGTCTGCCCAAACCATTATAAATCTCCAGAAAAGACTTTCAAAGAGAAGCAAAAAACTATACTATACTCTTTTTTTTTTTAACCATGAAAAACTGCCAGGATCTTTCCTCTAACAGAGAAGGATCTGCAAGCAGACAAGCCTCCCAGGAGCCCCAAGACCGGCAGGGCCCAGATGTTTGCATTAACACAAGGAACGCCAATGCACTCATCTCATACTTCCGTGACAAGCGAGCAAGCGCTCTTCATCGGCGCCTGCAACACCCTGGAAACTCAGAGACAACTTTTCAGCGAAGAGCGCAATGGGCACCGCCACAAAGGTTCCTATTTTTACAACAAAATTAATCTCTTTCCGCTTCTCAGCGCTCACATTACTCGGCCATTACTCACTCCAGGCAGAGCAGAGGCGATGCAGGAGCGGGTTTATAGGGTCGCCCTGCGGCTCGGCGCAGCTCAGCCACAGAAGGAAGTCGCTGGCGGGGCTCAGGAACTGAGACTCACAGGGAAGCCCTGTCCTAACCGAGAGCGAAATTCCGGGCGGAGTATTACGGCTACATGGGAAAGGCTGGCGGGAGAATAAATGATCTGGATATTAAGCTCCCTCTATCCCTCCCGGGAGGGAAACTGGACTCACTTTGTTCCTTAAGACTTTAGAGGCTTGTTGGCAGAGGGGGGTTCTCTGGGCTACCTTCCTGCGGCCCTCCCTCCCGCTTTGGGCCGAGCGATGCCGGCCGCTCCGGCCGCCTCCGCTGCAGCACGTGGCGACACCAGGAAGCCACGAGAGCCTCGGAACCTCCTGACCCGCGGGGACTCCCCGCCTTGGCTGGGCCAAGAGGGCAGCGGTAACGCGACGGGCCTGAACGCGGCATCTGGGCCCGGAACTGCCACGGACAGGGCCGGTGCCGGCGAGCGCGGCCCCTCCGGGGCCCGGGCCGTTGCCCGGAGGGGTCTCCGCCGCCGCGGCCCTTCCCGGGGGCGGTTCTCACCTCCTCGCTCTCGCCGCGGGACGCGGCCGCCAGGCGGGAGACGCTCTCGAGCACCTCGCAGAACTGCTCGAGGCTCACGGCCTCGTCGCCGCGGCTGAGGCGCTCCTCGAGCCAGCGCACGAGCGCGCCGTGGTGCCGCGACACGAGCGGCTCGGGCAGCGCCGCCTCGCGCAGCCGCGCCGTGGCCTCGCGCA